CCATTCCACAACAACTTTCGCGGATTATTGCTTTCCTTTCGCGGACCCATCGCGGATCTTTCGCGGACACAGTAATTTACATGTGAAAACCGTTTTATATAATCCCCACACAAAGACCTTTAGATCAATGCTCAAATATGTAAGCATATTTATCTTCTTCTAATTCAGTACTAATGAATACTATCATCTTCCAATAACTTAGATACATATTTCTTCAAACCCACGAATTGAATAAACCTAGCCTTACCCGTTTTGGGGGTTCTGGTATTTGGGCGTGAGATATACCTTTGTTGGGAATAATATTAGAACATGTTATGAAAGCTTGCCAGTGGCAAGGCTTGAGACTTCCGCGATTGGGAGATACTGACATCGTCAGCTGAGAAGATGCTCCGCTAGACGTTCAAAACACTCTTTCGCAGAAAGACGGTTCTGACATAAAATAGCTCTGGAGAATTTCCTTTTCTCATGCAAGGTCCCAGAGTTGAAGAGGCCGGGACCGTCTGCTGGGGCACTCCTGCTTCAAGGCTGTGATAGTGTTCGAGGCCTCTTCGGGGCTGCTTCGCAAAGCTCCTTGTGTGCTTGGGGAGACGCCGTAACTTTGACAGGGGGCATCCCAGTGTTTCCCTGTCCTGGGCCGCAATCCTTTGGGTGTTAGGAGAGCAGCCAGGTGACTCAGGAATGCAGATAGTCGCGCACGAATGCACACTTCGGCTTCCAGCAAGTAACATCATCCGTCTTCCCTTGAGAATGCAGCTCGCTCGTTGCTGTGCCCGGGCGTGGTGGTGACCTGTCGCTGCTGGATGCTGCTGGGTTTCCGTGTCACAGTGTCCGACCTTGACAAAAGCCAGTCGAACTTCGCGAGGCCAGCCGCAGGCAGTGGGATCTTTGCCTGCGCCACGTCTATGTTTCTTGTATGACGGTGAGGTCAAAGTGACATCACGTTGACCTTCACCTCTTGTGCGGCCCGGTGAAGAGTGCGAGACAGCTGGTTGCAGCCACCGGCAAGCCTTAGCAACTTCGACGTGCAACACTTGGAACTGACCTTTCAGCATTGAGAGTACGAGGGCTAAATTCGGAGAGAATTATTTCACTCTTCCGGTACGAAGTCCTGCAACAGAGAGCACATGCTGAAACTACGTCTTTAGGCTGAAATGTGTAAGGTCGGTCGGCCTCCCAAATCTCAGATGCTGGCCTCGCCGCCCATTGGCAACCCGAAGCATAGGCCTTTGCAGAACAAATACAACGGTGAAGCGTCCCTGGTCCTGACGGCAAGCCGATGGCTCACACGAGCGAGAAGGTGAAGGGAAGCGGTTGGCCGTCGACGCAATATGGCCACAATGGGATGCAGTACGTGGCACCACCACGGCCTCCAAGGCCATTTCCATTTGAAGCATATGCTCATGCTCCACACCTTTGTTGTGATACCTTGGCATATCCATTCTGCAATGGTGCTCAACTGAACCAACATCTAGCAACACCATGTCCTGCACTCTTACACTAAGACTAAGGCTGCTGCGCAACACATAAAAGTGCCAAGGCTTCATCCAAGTCTCCCTGACCCAGCAAGCATGGCATATTGTTAATTTTAAGAACGCAGTCTCATCAGTGTGCAACTCATCGAGATATCATCCGTCGAGGCCGCAGGCCCAGCGTTAAGCTGTTTCAGGTCCTCATAGGGACACGCCAATTGGGCGACCTTTTGTTGCGTTTTGCATCGGGATTCAGGTGGTATAGCAGATGAGAGGATAGGGGAGCGGGCAACAGGCGCATGTCTGTCACAACTGACGCTTGACACGAGTGACACATGCCTTTTCAAGTGCTGCGCCGTCGCAGACTCGTGGCACAAAGACCTTCTCTTGAGCAGACGCAAACTGTGCATGCACAGACGAGGAGCACGGGTGTCCGACCTCGTAAATCTTGATCAAGGCTTTCTGGGCATGATCCAATGCCTCACCTGTCCAGCTGCACCCAAAAACACGCAAACTCTCTCAACTGCGGGGTCGCGGTGGTAGCTGAGGGCAATGACCATGGCGAGCAAGCTGCGAAAGCGTGGCACACAAGTTCAAGTGGCTCTGCCTCAGCATGCGAGAAGGAATCGCTCTCAGATGCCTCCGTCTCACTGGCAACAGCGTTGCGTTGTCTCGTATAGAAGGTGTGCAGCCCCTCAGCGCGCTGAGGCTTCGACGCTGTGAGGGGGCTGCAAGAGCGCTCCTCTGCAAGCCGCTTCGGCTTCTGTTGTTCTCATTCGTTCCAGGGCAATTCTTTGCGGCTGCCTCAATGGCCAACGCTCGCTCCAGGTACGCGACGGCCTCGAAACAGGACAGCTGTACTGTCTGTCTGCCTGCGACTGCGTCGTTGACGTCGTAATTTTGAGCTGTTGGAGTCTCCAACTAAGGCTCCCTCTGAGCGCAGCTTCTTGTTGCGCCTGGCTGAACCCGTTGCCACAGCGCATCCGGGTTTCTCTCTCTGTGTATGGGACATGGGCAAGGCTATGCGCCTGTACAGGCATGCGAAGTTGTTCCAGGTGGCAGACAAAGCGACTTCGTCGGCTGCTGCCTGACACAGGGTTGGAGAAAATGTCTCTTTGAGGGGAGACACGGACGCTCGCGCCGCTCGCTGGCCGCTCGGGCCTCCTCTGCTCGCGCCAACAGCTTTTCGGCCTCAGCCCAGAAGAGCAGGTCAAGCATCTGTGATCCATGAAGAAACCATTCGAGGCAGCCTTCAAACAACGGTGTGGCTTGGCCGAAGAAGCCTACAGGAAACGCAGACTAGTTTCTATGCCCAAGAACGAAATTGCAGATCACGTCAAAGCACCTTCGTCCCCATATTGACCGATCTGGACGCCCTCTGACCACACCGCTCCTTAAAAGGATGCTGTCTATTACCTAGGTATCGAAGCTTCGTATTGCTCTAGAATAACTAAATCAGGAAGTTTGGAACAAAGCTCGGGAGCCCAAACTTCGTAGCGAAACCCTGCGCAACCTTCAGCTAAGTATGATGCGCGAGGTCTTCACACAACCTAGAACAGAAGTCACGCATTCGGTATCATTCGGTGGTCTTGGTTCCGCATGTAAGGACAGGATCTTAAGCCAAGGTAGGCGGCCTGGCATGCAATTCCTGTGCTGGATAGAATTTGTAAGAGGTATTTCCCCAACGAATTCGCACAAGACCACACCGCTCTTGGACCTCACTTGAAGTATAGCCAAATCTCTAAGCTCATGCGGGAACCCTTCTGCCTTCTTTGGGCTGGCGCCAAAGCGCGCAGACACGTGCGCACGGCCAAAGCAAAAACAACCCAGAAGAGCAGCTGAAGCTGAAGCTGAAGCTGGGGGCTCTACTGCTTTGAATTCATTCCGCTGCATCAAGGACAGAGCAACCTCAGACCACATCGTGTCGGGTCTGCTGGGGCCCCCAGGCCTAGTGCAAGCTGAGTTGCTTTGTTGTAGTCCTGCGAGCATGGCGGAAATTACGCGAGGCTCCCAGAAAAGTGATGTAGCTGAAGCTCTTGCCTTACAAATTCGTTGCATGGCTCCGGCGACTTCATGCGAACCCTGAGCAGGGAAATGCAAGGAAGCCATTCGAAAGATATTTTGGCAATGTAAAACCTCGACGAAGCTGATGTCACTCACGGAACAGGTTTCGGGATATACTGCAACCGACACATGTCTGCTGCTACCTCACCATAGACTTGGCGGCGAAAGTGTAAGCTCTTCTCATTGGCAACCTGATTTACAATCCAGGATTGCTTTTGCTCCGAACGCAAAATTGCGATCGCGACAAGCAGAATGACCAAGAACCTGACCAAGAGACCCTTGTGATCCTGCTTTGCCTCGGCTTCCTGACATGAGGAAGTTTTGAGATCACAGCGTCAAGAGTACGTGGTTTGCATCTCGCGGCCCTCAGGCACCTCGGCATCTTTGTCGCAGATGTCAATCTGTGCACAACATCAGACGATTGGCACAGATGCTTCAAACACGTGAGGCGCTCCTTGGGTACCGCATCTAGCAAACTCCGACGGCTTAAACCATGTCGAGCTAGGGGCATTACAATCATGGTCGGAGACATCCTCAGCAGTCCGTGAACCTTGCATGGACGAAGCCCGGCCGTAGCAAGCCCTGTAGTAGGCCCACCCCTGCCCGAACCTGCTGAAGCAGCGCCACTCGATCCTTTCAGAAGCAGAAACAAGCTTTTGCTCAACGGACGGCGTTGACTTGGTCTCAGAGCATGAATCTGTGTGCCATTTTGCATTTCGGCTGGCTTTGTACACGTCGACGTCGCTCCGCCCAGGAGCACAGGGTCCCCAATTCGTAACACCCGAGCATGTCTACACCAATAAACTCGGATCTCTCCGACCCACTACGCATATTGCACGGCGCAGGCACTTGGACTCCTGGGCGTAGGACCTCAAAGTGTTAAGCGCCGCGAACCCATGCGAAACCGAGACCGTCGTGCATGACGCAGATCTTCCTGGTCCAGATGCTTCAGCAAACCGACCTGCTTGTCGCAGATTCGCCAGCGGCTTTCAAGGCTTCTGTGCCCTGCGGCACACCCTCGACACAAGCCCTGATGGGTCATGAGTCATGAGGTGTAACTCGGCTTGAACTTAGTGCCTCGGGTGTGGGCCAGATTCAACGCGATGCAACACGTGCTGGCAGCAGCTGGCAGCGCACCTTCTTCTCCCGCAGCCCCTGCCAGGTCTGCGCTCTCACAGTGCGAGCATCTGTGCACGTTGGGGCACTGCCGCCCGGCCTTGACAGCAGCCATCGCTCAGCGGCGGAGCCAGTCTTACTACCGCGAACTGTGGCATTTACTTAGAGCTTCATGTGCAAACTGGCACTGTGAATCCACGTACGAAGCCATGAGGAAGAGATTTTCATCAACATGATCGCAGAACCTGCTGAGATGGATGGAGGAGGCAGCCATGTAGAGAGCACCAAGGCATGAACTTCCGACATCCAAAAATTGGACGAGTCTATGATAGATCACAAGTGTTCAATAACACGACTGAACCGTCGGACCGCCTAGTTACAAAGCCGTGGATCTTGAATGCTCTCCTTTTCGTTGAATTTGGCCGTCCTGCCCTGGAAGGGACGACTATGCAAGGCCCTCAGAAAGCCAAAAGAAGCCATTCCGTGTGCGACATTCTGGTAGAATTCCTCTGTGCACAACTCACGACACTGAATGAAGCAAGGGACAACGAAGCAAGCAATGCCCATGTGATTCGCACGATGGACAGCAGTTGTACTGGCCAAAGGCTCCTGCTCTCCGATCCTGACCCGGCGTCGACCAAATGCAAACCCGCCAGAATGGTGGCAGTTGCATGGTGCACCTGTGGTAAAATATCGCAAAAGCTGTTGAAGGCACCTCATGATGCCAAATATCATATGCCGCAACTGCTTGCGCGCACAATATTCCACTTCAGCCACGGCCATCGCACAGCTCCACACTGACACATCTTATCCTGCTAACAGCTTGTGTCGCAACTGCTATTTGTGGAACTCTTGCATGCATAGTCTTGCATTCCGGATCATAGCTGAGGGCTCAGCTGGTCAGTTCAAAACAGCCTCCCGTCTGGATAGAACAAAACTATCACGTCTAGATGCCGTAGCCCCTTCGCAAGATCTCTGGGCCAGGGCGACTCGTTGTGGAAGTAGCTCATCTTGGAATACTGCACGGGCCAGGGATGCAAGGAACCGCTCGAAGTAATCATGATCCTCTCGGACAGGTTACTGCCTGGAAACCTTGCAGGGTTCCAGGGCGGCCTCTCTCGCATGCCCTCCTCAAACGGAGGCAGCACGATCCACACGGCCTTCGGCAGCGTCGAAATCCGCTTCTGCATTCAGGCAGCAATCTCAGCATTGAATCTGCCGAACGCGCGGAATGAGAGATACGTCTTCCACCACCAACTGTCGGAAAAAGGCAGATAAGCGCGGCGGGTGAAACTGATAATGGCGTCTTTCAACTCCTCCTCATTCATGGCAAATAGCAACTTCTGAGCAGTGGTGGAGTTGTTATTGTACATCCATCGACAAGCCCTTGGTTCGTGGCGAAACGAAGTTTGAGGCAACGCAGGCAATACAGCACATAAAATTGTGACACGGCGTTGGCTCCCGACCTTCGAACTGCAGAGATGATCCTCGGCTTAGGTCCAGAGTGTAGAGGCTTTAGGCTTTTGGGGTACAAGCTCGCGTTCGGGTAAAGTTGTTCGAACATGTCTCCTCAAACCTCTGCAGCTTTCTGCAAAACGACTCTCCCCAACGGCCAAGGGACAAACACCAGTTTGAGGCGGTACAGTTGCGCAGACTCTGCATCACATAGTGATATGCTGGGTCGACCGCTTTGTCCCATCTGCGGTCATACGGATAATGCACTCTGTCGACTTTTTGCTGTCGTCCTTCGGCACGAGCACGAGCATGAATTGCCCTGAGAAGAGTCGTGCTGCCGGTCTTCGAGTGGGCGGCAAGGATGATATGACTGGGTGGCCCACCAGGCTTTGGAGCCTCTGCTTCTTCTCGGCCAAGGCCAAGGGTGCTCCCTTGAAAGCAATCCTGCTTTGACACTGAGAAGTGGAAGTACAAGCTTTCTACGACAGTGAGAATCAGCATGCAGCAGGCAGCGCCTCAGAAACCACATCTAGCACCGTCGGAGTCCATGGGCTACAGTACTTCTTTGAGTCTGTGCTGTTATGTGTTACATTTCTCGGTCGTCCCTAACCTTTCGGAATCTCCGCAACCTACTCAAGATTGTGGTACTGGAAAAACAATCTACAGGCTACAGTGGATACAGGATACTCACAGGACTGCGAATCCTCTCCCTACGCAAGGTGCCAGTGCCCCTTGGCCCAGAAGTCAGGTGATGGTTCCTGGCTCAGGACTTAGTTGCAACAGTTCAGAATTTATATTCCTGCTGGGTTTAAGGCTTCGGAATCGAAACTTGAGTGTGCTAGTTTGAGGCTCACGAACATTTCAGGACTCAGGCGTCAGGGCTTGCGAACTCAAGGATTGACTGGGGCTTAGGGTTCCTATCATCTAGGATCCGCCAGGCATTCTGTTTCAGGCTTCAGGGCCCATCTGCAGACTGAAACACAATCGAGCCTCGAGATTGCAGCACGGACAGGCATGTCTAAGCCATCCGTTGCACAGCCACACCCTGGCAAGCTCTGCGATCGAAAATGTTCAAGCACCGGACTGCATCAGCAAGCATGCTAAGCCTGCTCAACTTGCTGGGCTTTCCACACGCTTGAGGGTCCTCCGAAACACAGCATCGCAGAGCTGCTTGCCCGTCCTCCTATACATTATTAACTTTATGATTTTCTGTTACATCATGGGATTTTGTGCGGTAAGATCATGTAACAATAGAGTACACTACTCCGTCAAGATTTGAGTAACCCCTAGAAGCTGCACATCTACAGATCCATGCCAAAGGCACGCAGCTGTTTTGCGATGCGCCAAACAGGTACAAATGGTTTGGGGCCACGCACCGGCAGCGTCGTAGAGTCGTAGTGCTATGATGTACGTGCACCGTCCAATGTCAGGCGGAGACAGAAGCAAAGGGTGTCGATGCACTTAGGCACGCCGCTTCAGAAACCATTCTGATTTACCATAGACTCCGATCATGTTAGCTTAAACTGCATGCCTTGGCAACGATCCAGCCTAACCAGAAAACTGATGAAAACTGTTCGCATCGTGCGAATCGCAAAGTGCGAATCGCAAAGTGCGAAGAAATTTGAACTCCTCTGGCCGCGCCGTGGCCCCTTTATGCAATCCGTGCTCTTGATTAACCCCTATATTTAAAGGTTTGTTCTTCCGGAGATCTTGGATCTGGCTGGCTCAGAGAAAACCCCCTATATTCAAGGGAAGAAATTTCGTTCTTTAACTTTTCAAAAAATGCTGTATAGACTCGGCGACGTGAGCTAGAGGCCCAAAACTTACTACTACTACTACTACTACTACTTACTACTGCTACTACTGCACTACTGCTACTACTACTTAGCCAGTACCAGGCCATGATGTTCGAGGTCTACTACTTCTAGGGGTGATGGCCCCCCCCACCCAAGAGCACGGATTGTTGTTCAGGAGAAGTCGCGGACAACAAGCAAGAATTTCAGCAATAGGTCATTCCGACACAATGGCCGACCTATCCCAGCGCTTGAACTACAAACGCGGTCACCATCATCAGCGAAGCAACGGCCAGGCCGCTCGCGCTTGTCTCTTCAGGCCCTGGCGGGATCACGGAGGTTTCGGTGGTTGAGACCGTCGTGGTTGTGACCGTCGTGGTCGGAGCAGCAATTCGCGTCGTCGTCTTGCCGGTAACCTCCAAAGCACCAGAGAAGCCCGAGCTCGCGACGGCACTAGCGATGGCCTGGTTGGTGGCATCCAAGGAAACGGTCTCGATCTCCGCCTCCTTCGCGATGGCGTCCTCTAGGCTGGGCATGACCACCGTGAAGACGGCCAGCAGCTCGGTCTGAAGCTGCCTCGTGTGAGCATTCAACCGCCGAACTTCGCGAATCTCCAGCATCACATCCTCCACAGGCACCTCCATGGCCGTGGCAAAGCCTTGCTTCATGGCATCCTGCACGGTAGCATTGTTGAGGATCGCAGCTGCATCGTCGACGGCGAGCGGCAACGTGACTTCGGTGGTGCTGTAGACCACTCCCGCCGTCGTTGTCGTCGTCGGGACCTGAAAGCAATGACCGGACTCGAACATTCTCCTCCCAGGAACAAAAAAGCTCAACCGCTAAGGAAAACGGGAAGCCGAGAAAGTTGAAAAGTTCTCTTGTCGGCTTAGGTACTGTGATGTTCACAGCTGTGCTCAGGCCGGGTCTATCCGGCAGACACACTCCTGTCTCGAACATGGGCTCCCACCTGCAAGCGCCATTTGCGTTGCAGGCAGACGCATTTTCCACGTTGAGGCTGCAATTGGAGATGTAGGCCAACGTGTCGGCATACTCCTCGAAGCCGTATACGCTGCAATTTCGTGGATCCACCGGAAGCGGCTGCCACAAGGTGGTCCAAGACCTCCAACCTCCGCCACGCTTGAGGGACAAGCCAAGGCCGACGAAAGCTAGCTGCAGCATGCTGCTACTGATACTGGTGATGATGACGATGATGAAAATTGACGACAGTCATTTTTGAGACATGGTCTATGCTACTGCTAAAACATGCTAAAACATTCCCAAACACAAGCCTAGCTTGCACCAGCTAGCTTTCTTTCGTGACTTCGGGTAGTCGCATCTGTAAAAACTATACCTTACTTCAAGACTGCGAAGCGTCCCCATTCTTGGCAACGGGCTTCCTGCACGCAAACAGCATCAAGGCGGTCTTGCTGAAACGGAAAGTGCTAGGAAGCGCCCTCGAAAGGCTTCTCTAGATCGAAGCTTCTGGTCCCTTCGCTCAAGGCCGCGCAGTCAACTGCTTAGTGCCTTGCAGCTCTGCCGCTGTGGACTGTGCCACGGCAAGGTGGACTTGGCCTCGAAGCCCGGCTCGTCTGAGAGGTGGAGGCTCGCGTTGGTGCAGTCAACGAGATTGCCTGCCAACGTTGAGGCGTGCCTGAGGTGCCTAAAAAACGAGGAACTCATGAGAGCGGCGAAGCGCATGCAACGGCCTGGAGAGTCTCAGGCAGGATCGAGTGGCTATGAATGACAGTTCACATGCACAGCTCTGGAAGGGTAAGGTAACCCGTGCATCCAAGTTGACTCATGCAGACAGCGACGGCTCTGCTGGGGGCTCTGGCAACCC